TCATAATCAACTACACGTACCGCCGTCTAGTTTATAACATCTTGCATCTTTTGGATGGACGGACGGACGGACAGACGGATGGATGGACGGATGGATGGATGGACGGATGGACGGACGGACGGACGGATGGACGGATGGATGGATGGATGGACGGGCGGACGGACGGACGGACGGACGGACGGACGGACGGACGGATGGACGGATGGATGGATGGATGGATGGATGGACGGACGGACGGACGGACGGACGGACGGACGGATGGACGGATGGATGGATGGATGGATGGATGGATGGATGGATGGATGGATGGATGGACGGACGGATGCATGGATGGATATGGCTGTACCCTTTAGATCGGGCGGTGGCTAGCGTAATACTTAGAACTGAACGAGAGGTGGCTACATACAGGGGACGCACAGCCCACGCCTTAAGGAGCTTCGCTCCTAAAAGAAAGACCCGGCTGCGCCACTGGAGTGGCCCAAGGACGCTGCATCTGCCTTCGACACTGCCAAGAAGGCTCTGGCAGACGCTACCATGCTCATACATCCCGTCCCTGATGCCCCAATTCGTCTCATCACCGATGCATCAAGCGTGGCAGTTGGCGCTGTTCTCGAGCAGCACGTATCCGATTGGCAGCCACTTGGGTTTTTCTCGCAAAACAAAAACTGAAGCCACCATGGACAAAATACAGTACATTTGCCAGAGAACTCCTTGCGGTATACCTCGCCATCAAACATTTTCGTCATTTATTGGAGGGCCGGGACTTTTACGTCGTTACAGATTACAAGCCTTTGACGTTTGCCTTCCATCGCAATCACAGCAATGATACTGCACGGGAGATCCGTCAACTTTGCTTTATTTCCGAGTTCACTGTGGATCTCAGACACGTACATGGGCCGGAAAATGCTGCTGCTGATGCACTCTCCCGCATCGATGCCTTGTCGACACAGCCACCACTAGACATGGAAGAGCTAGCAGCTGCCCAAAGCAATGATCCTGAGCTGCATCGTCTTCGCTCTTCATCCACGTCTCTATCGTTCACGGAGTGCCTGCTTCCATTTTCTGCCTCATTAATAACGTGCGAAACGTCTACTGGTATCCCTCGGCCCTTCGTGCCTTCAGCTTTTCGTCGTGCAATTTTCGATCAATTGCACAGCATGAGCCATCCTGGTATTCGTGCGACCCAGAAGCTAGTCACATCTCGTTTCCTTTGGCCAAGCATCAATGCTGATGTCCGACGCTGGGCGCGAACCTGCCTTGAGTGCCAGCGCGCTAAAGTTCACCGTCACACTGTCACGGCAACATCCTCGTTTCGACCTCCAGACGCAAGGTTTTCTCACGTCCATCTCGACATCGTCGGTCCTCTTCCGTCATCGCAAGGAGCCTGCTACCTGCTGACATGTGTGGATCGCTTCACCCGATGGCCGGAAGCGTTTCCCATTTCCGACATTACAGTACCAACAGTTGCCAAGGCTTTCACAAACGGCTGGGTGTCGCGCTTTGGATACTCTTCTGTCGTCACCACTGATCGTGGTCGTCAGTTTCAATCGGCCCTTTTCACCGCACTTGCCAATATCCTGGGCATTCGACACATCCACACAACTGCCTACCATCCTTCCGCCAATGTCATGGTCGAACGGCTTCATCGACAACTGAAAGCTGCCCTCACTGCTCACCAGCCAAGGGAACGTTGGCTCGACCACCTCCCCTTCGTACTTCTGGGCATCCGATCAGCATTGAAAGTGGATCTCGGCTGCTCATCCGCCGAACTAGTCTATGGCGTTTCCCTGCGTCTTCCAGGAGAATTCTTCGAGCCATCATCGCCACCTTCCACTCACGATGCCTCCACGTACATTCGAGAGCTGCGCACCACGTTTCGGGACCTTGCTCCTGTGATTCCTGCCGACCGACACCCCCAGACTGTCTTCGTCAGTCAGGATCTGCATGACTGCAGTCACGTCTTCGTTCGGCGTGACCAAATACGGCCACCACTAAAACCAGCCTATGATGGCCCATTCCGCGTACTCCATCGTACACCTAAGACGTTCACGCTGGACATCAATGGCCGTGAAGACGTCGTGACTGCTGATCGACTGAAACCTGCGTATATCGCCGCTCTCGCGGCCACGGGGTTTCTATCTAAAGTCCAAATGCCAACATCGAAGCATGTCCACTGGGTGACTCCTCTGGTAATTCCTACGGCTCTCGCTCTACGGGGGGGGGGGGGGGGGGGGAGCCCTGTAGCGTCTCAATGCGCCGCTCGTCAAGGAAGATGTTGGAATTTGGGCCGCGTGGCGGGTGCAACGCGATAATAAAAAATCTGTTCGAAAACTGAACGCTGTCAGGGCTGGATCTTTCCCGTTTTACCTCCGACAGACCGGTGCGCCTCCGTTTTCGAGCGGCGGCGGAGATGGTACCCCTGCGCGAGTCGGTGACTACGATGTCTGGCAGCCCATGAGGTATCCCGAGGTGTCGCTTTGACTGCCCAGACATGTGATTGCGTGTACCACGCGTGGTCCGCCGTGGCCAGGGATAGCCCCTCCATCTATGCGGCATCTCTCCACTTTTTCTCTCCACATATCTCCACATAGGAGAAAGGAAGAGGACAAGGACGATCGGATGTGCGCTTGGTAGCACGTGGCGGCGGCTGGCAGCAGCTGGCAGTTGCGGCCCGGGTTTAGATCAATAAAGAAGACTCCTGGTCTGGCTCCGCATCTTCCCTGCGGGTTTCTGGGCCGAGCAGCTTCGAAAACCCCCTACAAGCTGTAGTGCGAGCTTTCAGGATTTAGCTAACTGCAGCACGTGTTTTCTTGAGTTTTGTCAAAGGCGGCGCTCATTTACAATGATATCAACGTTGTTGCAAGTTCAAATGTCATGTATGAAAGTGACGAAAAAGAAAAGGCTTCCAGGCTTTTCGGCCCGAAGTCAAGGGTTCGCGTCTTGGCGAGCATATTCACGAGGGTGCCGTTGATGCGCACGCTATGCGCGAAAAATCATGTCGCCCAGCTGTTCGAGCCCAAGGTATTTCTTCATGATGTCTGGGCTGTATGTCGCCATGGCTGTTTCTTGGAAGTGCTGCGATGGGGGAGACGCAGACTGAGTGAACGACGAAAAGCAAAATGAGCCTTTAAATAGAAAGCGTGCGTTGGGCGAGCAGCTTAGTGGAAGATCAACGAAATGGGAGGATGAGGAGAGAGAGAGGGTCAGGCCGGTTGTTGGGCACAACGGAGAAAGTGACGTCAGCCAGACATGCTCAGGGCCACCGTCTTGCAAGTTGTGGCGGTTGCAACAGCTTTGACTATATCTCTTTCTCTCACACTGCACTCCTTTTCACTTGCTTATCACGATTTGCCATCCATTTCTCGCATTATAGTGCATACACATTTGTGATCTAAGGTTATACTATAGGTCGAGGTCGACGTTACTATTCTTCTGATAGGGTGAAATGAATGGGATCGGTGGTGTTATAAGATATCATAGGTCTCTCCATACCGTTTGATAATGAAGGGATGAAACGAAGGCACCCTTAGGGGTTATCTACAACGTGCGCTAGAAATCAGTCTCCGCTCCTCACAAATGCCGATGCGCGGGTGCGTTGATAACTGTCAACACCGCGTAACACACCGCACGTGTGTACGATACACTGTTTTCATTTTGAATTGTGAGCCACCATGGGAAGCTTGTCACATATATTTATGAAAAGTTGAGTTCTACACATGATGAACGAAAGATAACAATTGCATCATCATTTGAAAAAAAAAACAACGTTAAGTATATTAGTATACTTTCTACAAGACACGACACCAGTTTGTGTCGGCGCGCACCGCGTTTAATAAATAACTTTTTCCCACTGTATGCCTTGGAGCACATACACAATCTGTACGGTGGGCTTATTTAATGATCTAAGGTTGTGGATCTACAGACTTACAGCAGCATTGGTGCAGCTATAATGCCTGCACAACATTGAAAATGTTTCCTAGTGGAAGCCACGTTGGTCGTACTGTATCCGTTTTGCTGTGGCCAATGGCCACAACCATGAACTGAGCCGTTGCCTAGCAACATCTGCAGCTGGCAGCGCCGCTCACCGCGCCCTCTGGTACGATTTCAGAGGAGGAGCTGGTGAAGCCGTGTTACAGCAATAGAGGCGAAGCCTGCGTTCCATCATATACATAGAAGGAGCGGCTCGGTGGGATTCGTCGGCTCACATGGAAAGTGAGTGGGATAAACTGGCAGAGTGGAACGAAATTAAGAATAGGCAGCGAACTGAGGAGACGGAGAAAGAACTAGCTGCACGCCTCGAGAAACGAAACCGTACAGAGAATCAAGCTGAACAAGATCAACCGTACCTCTCCATACGCACGCCCATGTATAACGGAGTTAGGCCACAGGATGTGTTGTTAAAAAATTAAGTTAGGACAAGGGAAGTTGGCAAGAAGTAACACGACGTCTCTTTCGTATTGCGCGAGGTGCTACAAGACACTTACTATGAAAGCAATAGATGTAAGAAGAAGATGATATTAGAGCTTGCAGCATGGACAGTATTCTAAAGAAGAGTGATAACAGCAAAGGTAAAACATAAAAGGTGATTATACGTGTACCTCTGTGGAACGGTCTTGTTGAAGTTCAACATGAATTGATAAGAACTTTATTGATGTCTTAACGAGGTCGCGCACTGGAGGACCAGGGTCGAGTCGATGACTTTACCCATGACAGGATTGGGAGATCTAGACCAACCACAACATCGTGGACCTTCTGGACGGCCTGCGTTAGTTGTAGTTGTGCTGGTCTCTTGAGGGTGCATTTCAAGAAGTCCTTTGTTTGAAGTGAAAAGGCCCTTAACTATTTACATGCACAGGGCATCATTTTTGGATGGAGAGTTTTATTCAAGAAAACACCGATATATTTTACAGAAAATGATTTTCTCGCAAGAAACAAAAAATTGGCAGTTTTAGTTAAAAATATAAGGTGGTCACTTCAGGTGACCACCATGCAGTAAGAATCTGCTGGTCACTTTTGATGAAAGCACAACTCTTCATTTCTATAGTCCTTAGCGTTAGCTACTCCTACATCATGCTTACCTGCACTATCAACATAGGAAGAGCACATACTTATATATCTATAAAAGGTATCCTCGGGTCCATGGTCTATCGTGCCTTCAAGATGACGGCAGCCGCAAGAAAGCAACATGTATTGAAAGCCAAATGAAGTAGCGTCATCTCTGTCAGATTGCCGAATGCTAAATATGCACCATTTAAATTCAGCACGCTGGGTTCACATGTTTCAAGAAGAAAAAAAGAAGAAATAGTGGTTACCTGGGGTCACTACGGTGCTGAAAGACTTAAGGTTCGGCACAGCCAGAGCATGTGTTCAGAACTGCAACATTCGTATGCGCGATTGCGAAGTATGATTGCCGGGCAGAGACATATAATCGGTCACACTATAGGCACACGGTCCTGACAATCGTCTCGCAGACGGTGTACGGGTCCGCGTTGGCTCCGGGCCGTCTGTCCTCCAGGTAACCCTTTCCAGCGTCCACTACGGTGCGTGGTATGCGCACGCTGACCTCCTTGGAGCACTCGTCGGCGGTGAACTGCTCGAGAGGCGTGGCCATCATTCCCGATCCGACCCGGAGTTTGTTTCGCTTCACCCTGGCTGTGTCGTATCTGGCCAAATCGGCGTCGGCGTTGCTCTTCAGCTTTTCGATGGCAGCTCTGATGACACTGGGTACGGAGAACAGACGAGAATGGCGCACTGGCAAGTTATTTTCGCGCGCGCGCGCGCGCTGTGTGTGTGTGTGTGTGTGTGTGTGTGTGTGTGTGTGTGTGCGTGCGTGCGTGCGTGCTGTGTGTGTGTGTGTGTGTGTGTGTGTGTGTTTTGCGTTAAACTAAGGTCATATACCTCCTAGTCGTCAAAAACATGCTGACAAGTTCCGGCTAACCTCAGTCTGACAGCTTTCCTAAAGCAAGTGATGATCGTGGACGCAGCTCATCAATTGCTGCAAAGTTACGCAGAGCTCCCAGAGATGAAAATATGAGCAATGAATTAAAAGGCTATATCAGCTTAGGATTACAGCTATTTTTCTATACGTTTGGAATACGCGATATACTGCGATATAACAAAATCAGCAAGTGCATAATTAAATGAATTATCCTACTACTGAAATCTCGCTAGTGGGACATAAGAAAATTGGAAACGAGCATACTCTAAAACGAAGTCCTTTTTTAATGCATTAATAAAGTTCCACACTCAGCCTGCTAAAATAGTTCCCAGAGGTGGAAGTCTCGTAGAAGAGGCGAGCCTCCCTTATTGCTGCCTGCAGCTGATCCCGCATATCACATTATTCTTGAAGCCGGTCGGAGTTGATAACCGTGCTCGTGCTTTATTCACGGGGTCCACATTTGCTTCAGACGACTTTAAGGAAAAAGCTATCTTCTTTTTCGTCTCAGTTTACGTATTGCTTTTGCCACGCCCCCTCGCGAAACCTTTCTGCACGTAACGTGGTTTCACACTGCCTCCAAGATCGGAGGCACTGCAAGCATTTTGCACCTCACTCAGATTTGCACTGCTTCCGTGATCGGGACACCTTTGACCAAGCGACGATGTAATGTGGTGATGCCATCGTGTGGCGTCACAATGTCTGACTCATAGTGACGTCACAAGTTTTGTTGATCTGTGACATCATGTCACACGTCACAAGTCAAATGTGACGTCATGTCACATGTCAAACATCATGAATGGGTGATAGTTTTTTTCATCATTCGTGTTGACACTAACAAACGTCAAGGTGGGAGGATTGGAGCCCAAGCAACAAAACCGGCATATGCCTGAATTCTGCTCTCTAGTGGGGATATGTCTAAGGGCTTCGTCTTAAAACAACACCGCGTCCTTTTTGAAGCCGTCCACTGCGTCACGTGGGAAGCTAGGTCTCGTACCGAGACGATAGTTATAGCGCGAGAACAAAACGACGACACAGAGACAAGAAGGACACGAAAGACACTGTGTCGTCGTTTTGTTCTCGCGCTATAACTATCGTCATGCCATACCAACTAGCCCAAGCTGCCACACTTCTCGTACCGAGAGTTGCATTGTGTGTGTTGGTGACGCGTGGAAAATCATTTTTGTAGCGCGAGGTGGAATACGGGTATACGGAAACAGTCATCTCATGCAGTCTATACCTTCCTTTTTCCGTATTTTGCCTCGCGCTACCAAAATTTCTCGTACCGAGCGTCCATTCTCCTGGATTAGCGCAATAATATAAGTATCTTGCAAGTTTCAAAGGAATGCAAGTTTTAAACGAATCGTTATATAAGAATAATTGCACCGATAGACAATTAAGCCAAGAAGCATATGAAACGTTACTTGTGGTTTCTTATAGTGGTATAATGATTATCATTTAAGTTGATAGTAATTAAAGTGGACGGAAAATCACCGATACCGTCTGTGGGATCTGAGCCCCCAACCTTAGTCTCATGGTGTCATCCATTGGCAGATGTGGAGTGCCCGACAGAGTTCCACACACACACGCACACACAAGAACATAAGAGAATCTACCAATGAAACACACGCGCTCCCTCCGGAGCAAATGGCAAGGTCAGAATGCAAAGCGATGCGTGCGTCTCTCTTCTTGCATAAGTGGGCACGTTGGGCACTGAGCCGCTATACGCTAGCAAAACATGAGCTCCGACGCGAGGCGCAACTGACGCGACCGGCGTACACCGGCCCGCCCAAAGTTCGCACCGTTTCAAGGCACGGGGTGCTTGCGACTTCCGGTCGAATCCGCCGATTTTTTCGGAGTAGAAAAAGTTGCTCCGTGGAGGAGATCTCGAGACGAAGCGGCTCCAGATCTGCCAATAGAACATACAGAGAGCACTTTCAATCCGCCAATGGAACAGACTTGCTCCACAAGAAGCAGAAGAAAGTATTACCTGAAGTGCTCCGAATCTGCCGATGGATGACACCATTAGTATTTTCGAAAAAAATGTCTTATATTTTCAGACGTAAACGTTTACCAGAACTCCAAAACTGAAAAAAAAGAAACCGGTTTTAAGCCCGTAACGACACGTGTCAATAATGATGCGATTAGGAATCAATAAGCCCCGCCGCGGTGGTCTAGTGTCTAAGGTACTCGGCTGCTGACCCGCAGGTCGCGGGATTGAATCCCGGCTGCGGCGGCTGCATTTTCGATGGAGGCGAAAATGTTGTAGGCCAGTGTGCTCAGATTTGGGTGCACGTTAAAGAACCCCAGGTGGTCGAAATTTCCGGAGCCCTCCACTACGGTGTCTCTCATAATCATATGTTGGTTTTGGGACGTTAAACCCCACATATCAATCAATTAGGAATCAATAAATGTGGTGACATGTCACATTCTCACCAGGGGCGTAGCTTGGGTTTTTTTTGTATGTATTGTGATCAGTACAAATGTTTCAACATGTTGCGGCAGCGCTATTGGGTGCACGATCAATGATTTATTACTTGGTTGCTCCATTATTGCTATAACTGTAGCACTCACCCTGTCCACTCTCTTTCCTCACTAGTGCTGTATATTTTCATGGGCGTGCACTAAAATATCTCATGCTGATCACAATTGACTCGCCGAACAGCATGACGTAATAATCGGTACCAGAGGAAAGGACGATGTGTCAAAAGTTGGACAGAAAATGATCATAATTTTCATGGCCGTGGTGGTCATGTGGTTGTCATGGTCGATTACTGCATTAAATACAGGCCTGAACGACCTCGATTCCGCGGAAGCAAAATGCTAGAAGTCCATTTATTACGATTATGGCCCAAACCCAAGTGGTCGAAATTTCCGGAGCCCTCCACTACTGCGTCTCTCATAATCATATCGGGATTTCCTGGTGTAAAATCACAACATTCATTGTACCCTGATATCGTCAAAATACGCCTCTTCGGCCCTTCCCGCCTCCTTAGCTAGACGAGAGCGCTCTCAATACATGCTTCGGAAAAAAACTAATAGTTAGCTGAACGAAGGCTCACTTTATGCCGCCGTCGCTGCGCATCGCCCTGGTGCTAAAGTTTGTGTGCATGGCAGAACCGAGCCAGTCTCCCGGTGGATAAGGCATCGGATCCAGGCTGACCAGCACGCCGAAGTCTTCGGCAACACGGTCCAATATGTAGCGCGACATCCAGAGGTGGTCGGCGGCTTCGACGCCTTCCAGGGGACCCACCTGGTATTCCCACTGCGAAGAGATGGCCCGGGTTCTTCGATTCGTTTGTGTCCATGCTATCGGTGAGCGATGTGACGCATCATAAACGAGGTAATATTGTAACAGCAGAAATAGAGCAAGTAACGAATATGACGTTAGTAAAGCTAGATAGATGAGCGTGCGTCGTGCTGGCCCGTACGCAACAAGTGAAATAAGGGATATCACAGCGAAAGTTATTACGTTAGCATACTTCAAGGGCAGTAAGTAGTGCTCAATTATTAGCAGTATCGCACTTTTCTTTTTTCTTCATTGAGGCCTTATCGAACCCGAAATTCTACCAGCGTTTTGCGTCGGCGTCTACCGTCGGTGGCGTCAACGTGAGTGAGGCGAAAAATCATCATCACGTGATGACGGCCGCCATATGGCGTCCCCATGGCGTCACAGCCGAATTTCGGGGTGTCATCGTGACCTCATAGCAACGTCATGTGCAGAGCGCTTTCGGAGAGTGGCGGGGCGAAATGAATACATTGACTAAGAAGAAAAAGAAAATGGTTATCATCCTCTAAGCCAACGAGTGTGCTTGAAGGATGAGTAAATCATCAGGTAGATGCTTTTTATTCCCGTTTTCATGGCGTCCTATCACCACGCATTTACACGCCTGCTACTCTGTCCAGTGTAGTATTTGCCAGAGGACAACGGCATTCGATGGATGATGAATGCCTGTATTGTCCTGTCTTTTGCGCTGCTTTAAACAATAGTTCTTCTCGCTTAGCGAATTGACTATGGAATATTGAAAATAATAATCATCAAAGAATCATTTATTCAATGTTCCCTGGAACAAATATGCGCACAAAAATAAAACAATACAAATAAACATACAATACACTCACTTTTCAGTAAATCAAATAAAAAGAGCGGAAACACGTAAGAAAAAGAAATCAGCGCTAAATCGAAAGAAAAAAATATCGACCGTCTCTCCGAAGTATGTGTGAGTGAGAATTTATTAGAAGGCAGAGAGGTCGGCCTGAGCTAGTTCGCTCTAGCCTGCTACTCTACACAGGGGATAAGGGAAAGGGGAAGGAAAGAGGGATGAAGGGTGATGATGGTGACAAAAAGAGGTGGTGCGTATGTACAGTAGCCACTTAGAATAGTACCCTACAGTCTAGTTTCTAGTCCAGCGCTTTTTATAAAGTCTAGAACAGCCTTTGTAGCAGTTTTTGACACTGTTTGGTCGTTCATTGCTGACAATATGTGGCTTTCACTTAATGGTGTTCGTCCAATGCTTGCCAACGTTGCATTTAGCATTTTTCTTTGCGCCACGTATAATGCACCGTCGGAAAACATGTGAGCTATCGTTTCGTGCACTTGGCAGCGTTCACAATTCGGGCTGTCCGCACGGAGTAAACCCTGATTGAATGCAAAGCAGCAGCGGTGCGCATGGCGTTGAACCGGTTGAAACGGGCGTCGACGCGGACGCTGGAAGAACAGTTTGAAGTGAAACGTGGTGCAGCGTTTACTCTACTGATGATTTGTTTGAAACGCAAAGACACGGGAGGTGGGTTGGGTTTCCTGTAAGTTTCATCGCAGAAAGACTGTTCGCTCGATGTGCGCTCGAACGTTGCGAGCGGCGGAGAGGGTGAAGCAAGAGAGATGACACGCGGCGAGCGGTGACAGGCTACGGAGATAGTGACGTCAATGCGTGCGCGCTGCGAAGGAAAGCGTGACCTACTTGGCACCGCCCCATCACCTGTGGCTAGGCGAGCGTGGTGCGGACGGAGGGACAGCGTTACAGAGGCTAGTCAAAGAGCAGCTTCGCATCTAATAAATGAATAAGGTGAGAATCATGGAAAAGAAGTGAGAAATAAAGGAAAATATTCACGACTATGTAGAAACCTTCCTGAAAGATGGAAAAGGGAAGAACCTCTACATTGTGAAAAACTTTGTTAAGACAGTGTAGAGCTGAGATAGAAACAATGACAGTGGACTGTGAAAAAATATCAAGATCATGGAAGTTCACATTAGAGGCTTCGTATTCTGGTAACAATTGAGTGTTGAAAGAAGTTGGCAAGTTGGCATGTACATGAAATGGTCGATTCTCTCTTGTTGACTTAGTTTCGCCGCGGTGGTCTAGTGGCTAAGGTACTCAGCTGCTGACCCGCAGGTCGCGGGTTCAAATCCCGGCTGCGGCGGCTGCACTTCCGATGGAGGCGGAAATGTTGTAGGCCCGTGTGCTCAGATTTGGGTGCACGTTAAAGAACCCCAGGTGGTCGAAATTTCCGGAGCTCTCCACTACGGCGTCTTTCATAATCATATGGTGGTTTTGGGACGTTAAACCCCACAAATCAGTCATCTCTTGTTGACTTACGTGGTATTAGAAAATTTATACAACTGAGAAATAAAGGGCGTGATGTCATACCGTGAACTGGTTTGTAAAGAAATGATAATCAGTGCGTTTGCGTCGGCTGTGATGTGATGGCAACGATAATAATCTGGTAGTGTTTGAATGAGATCCGGAGTCACTTCTAGTGAAACCATGATAATAAATGCTAATGATTTTTTTCTGGACTCGATCAATGGCGTCACTGCCACATTTGGCAAGACCATTCCAGATTACAGATGCATATTCAAGTTAACAATGACATATTGCGCTGTATAATTCGTGGAAGATTGTAGGAGATCTGAATTTTCAAAAAATTCTACAAACGCAGCCAAGAGAACGAAGGCCACGCATGGCAGCAGATTTCGTGTGAGCAGAAAAGCTTAGCATGCTATCAAAAAGAATACCAAGATTTCTGAATTTCAATATCTTGCATAAGCACGTGGTATTGACATAGATGGAAATGACACGATGGATCTCTTGCGAGATATACTCATGAATTTGGTCTTTCAGGTATTCAGACGAAAGTTATTGTTGTCACACCATTTGGAGAAAAAAACACAAATCTGACTGCAGCAAGCGACAGTCATTTTCCTAATGAACCTCCTTAAATATCTTGATGTCATCAGCATAAAAGAGAAAAGAGGAATGACGAATCGCGAAAGAAACATCGTTAACGTAAATGAAAAATAAGAGCGGCCTAATACCGATCCTTGAGGAACTTCACTAGTCCCTTTGTACAAGGAAGGCGTTTGGCCATTTACGGCAACATAACATGATCTATTAGGCAGATAGCTGGGCAATAGATTCATATCAGAGGAGTCAACATCAAAGTTTGCAACTTAAATCAAGGACAGTGAGTGGCCTACTACGTCAAAAGCCTTGCTCAGGTCACTGTATAAACTACGTCAACCTGTTCTCTCTGAGAAATAGGTGAAGATATTCGGGTCATGGAACTATAGCAATATTTGTGGCAGCTGAACGGCCAGGCAGAGATGCGTGTTGATTAGGAATCAATGAATTATTCACGCTAACGTACAAGATGTCGTGAATGTCGTGAAAAGCCAGCTCAAATATCTTTGATGTGGCACACAGTAGAGGAATCGGGCGATAATTCGAAACATCAGTTCTGCAGCTTGACTCAAATACTGGGAAAACACGCGCAGTTTCCCACATGCCGGGAAATGTGGAAGCGTTCAGACAGTTGTTAAATATTGTAGTCAGTACTGAGGGCAAATATATTATAAGCCTTGAGTATGGCTGAAGTGATGCCATTTGGGCCAAATGATAAAGGTTATAAGCGCTTAAAATAATAAAATATTAAAAATATGAAGGGCTTAACGTCCCAAAATTACCATATGATTATGATAGACGCCGTAGTGGAGGCTTCGGAAATTTCGACCACTTGGGGTTCTTTAACGTACATCCGAATCTCTGCACACGGGCCTTCAGCATCTTCGCCTCCGCCTGGTTTTAAGCGCTTAATGTATGAGCTGATGAGCTTTTCATCCAGCCATAGACCACTAGATGTGCTAACTGCCTTGGGCTGTTGTACTATCGGAGTCCTAGAGTCTGAGGTCTTGTAGACGGTTGAAAAATGCGTGGCGAAACAGTTATAGCGACGGCATGCACTTCGACACCGCCCGAGTCCAGTAGCCTGAAGGACTCCCCACTTATGCTAGACTGTTTGCGTGCATACCTTTAAAAACTCAGCTGGCATGTAAGAAAGATTTCTTTCTAATAATGCAATTTATAAATGGTGGTCCCGTTTATATGGGCATTTAGAGAGTGTGCGGAAAAAGCTGAACTTGCTGAATGGAGTACATTTAGCCTTCTTATGCGCGCGATCTTTATGCTTCAGCGCACTTATAGGTTCAGGGAAAGACCAGTGGTGATATGTACGATGTTAAGGTGCGTATTGCGGTTTTACGCATGCTGCTTAACACAAGCTCCGTAAACCGCTAAAGTTGGTCATCAAAATTTGGTTAGCCCGTACCATGTGACCTATCAACGGCTGACAAGTAATGATGCAAGCCCGTGCATTGAGCACTCTTGAAGGCAAAACTTGGAGATTGCTTAAAATGACTACTGTAACTCGTTGTTTCAGCTCATACAGATAGTCTCAAGTGAAGTGGTGGGAGGAATTTGTCAGGAAGAACAAGAGAGATGTCGAAGCGTGCAATTTCAACGGGTCGATCGTCGGTCAGACAAATGTTTACGGCGTTGTCTCTGCAATGGACAACGGTGTTATGTTGCGGTAGGGATACAAATGCCAGATTTGGGTGCACGTTAAAGAACCCCAGGTGGTCAAAATTTCCGGAGCCCTCCACTACGGCGTTTCTCATAATCAAATGGTGGTTTTGGGACGTTAAACCCCACAAATCAATCAATCAGGGATACAAATGCCACAAAATTTGAGAAAAGGTCACACTTTTTCTCAGTGAAGTTATTATAATGAGAAAAAGATAAGCGTGCTCAAATCGATTCCAGGGATATTAAAGTCACCAAGAACAATTCTTCTGTACCCCCTTTGAGACGATATTACATGTTCAATAGACGACATGACATCATGAAACATGGCAGGGGTAATGCTGGGCGGTAAATAGAAACACCCAATTGACAAGTTTTTCCGGCGCTCAAAGCTAATTTCTAACCACATCGATCCTTCGAAAGACTCCAGGTCTTTCCGTCCAACAAATTTCAGTGAACTGTCAATGACAATCAGCGCTCCACCGCCTTGCTGTTTTGTTGCACTGAAATCTCAGTCGCTGCAGAAAGGGGTGAAGGTAGGAGGAAAAATGTGAGATAAAGGTAATTTCAGAGCCCAGCCATGTATCACAAATAGCAACTATAGGAAAGGAACACGGAAGAAAGTCAGTGAAAAGCTCGTTTATGTTGGTATAGGCAGACCACGAGCACATCTGGCATTGTCTACGGTGCGTACGTAAGGACGCCACGTTCTGCGTAGTACGCATGCGCAGACCGCAACGCGCCCGTATCGCGTTACGTACGCAGCCGCTACGTACGCAGGCATGAGATGCGTGCGTGCGTACGTATGAGGTGATCGCGCCGTTCTCGAACAAGTTCGCGAGCGACAGCGCGAGACTTTGTTTTGCAAAATGGCGGCATCGAAGGCAAGCACCGACCGTCTCTGTGGCTTAAAATATGGCCATAATCTGGCTATAACACTTGGATTGGCTCACATTGGATGTCAACAACACGTGCTTCTATTTTGATCTACCAGATGGCGCAACACGCTTCACGCTCGCTACGTACGCGGTACTACGGCGTACTAAAAGCCCATAAGTGGCAAACGACGCCGCGTAACGCAAGGCGCTTGCGTGATCCGTACGTAGCACCATTCCGCTGTACTAAAACTCTCTTATGTCACTTCCAACTTGAAAGTGCCGCTTGTGCTTATCGTTGAGTGTTTCTTTACTTTGTGTGTGTATTATTTGCGGCCAAATAATGTCAGTAAGCAAGTGCCAACTAGGCCAACAATCAGTATTGTTATGTCTACGTTACACGGAACTTTCGACGCCTGGCTCTAAAGCTCGAACGGATGAAGCATGCCGTCGCGCAGCACCCCACGAAAACGCTTGAAGAGGCATCCGAGAGGACACATCGAAGGCTCATTTAGGTGGCTGTAGCGTTTCTTCGTCACTCTTGATGCATAAAGATGAATATGTATGAAATTTAGTTTGAAGGTGCCGTCAAGAGGTGCGAGACTCATCTATTGAAGTAATATGTTTGTTGGTGTCAGCAGCAGTGATCTCCGGGCTCAGATTTGAAACGAAAATGGCCTTTTGCCGTTGCGGCCGATGTGGCCGTTGAGTTACAGATATCATGATGTTGTCATAACTCCAAATGAGGCAGATTTATTCCTTCACTTAGTAATAATAATAATAATAATAATAATAATAATAATAATAATAATAATAATAATAATAATAATAATAATAATAATAATAATAATAATAATAATAATTAATAGTGTGGTGGTATTACACTGAAAAGAAAAACAAACTGAGTGAATCTCATTGCTCTATATGAAAAGAAGTTTTTACCTGAGATAGCATACCCTCGCTGTTTGTGCCGGCCATCTTGACGCCGGCGTAGGTGCACGCCTTGTAGTGAGCGTTCGATATGTATCTCCCGGAAGTGACATCAGCCCCGACGCCGAAGCAGTAGGGACCTCAATGAGCAAAGGATAGAACGAATCTTAGTGAGTTGGATCGAACAGGTGTATGAAAACCATAAAATCACGTCCTTCACCTAAGAAACTGGGCTGAATCATCCAATGTGACCTATACCTCGCCTAGGATGTTTTCTTTGCCTTATTTTCAAAATAGAATGAGACGGCGTTGTCGTATGTACCTTATGCAAGAGCAATGCTCGAAAAATAGTGGCTACATTGTTACAGGTATTTGCTGTTCAGCAAGCCTGATTAACCAACAAGCCTGATATCCACTAAGGTTTGCGGTTTACACCGCTGAGCTGCGGACAATGTAGTCGAAGACGAAAAACTTTCTTTTAATGACAACTGCCTGAAGCAATAGCAGTATTGTGACCAATGGTACTGTCGTCACACTACGATATTCTTTTGCAGGTTATGCAAGTAACTCTATGTAGCTCCTGTCCCTTCTTTTATGTAGGGACAGAAGAAAGGGCTGCAGAAGCGTGGTTCGTTTGGCTTGTTGGAATCAGGGCTAAAGTTGACGAAGCACAAGCGAAGGAACCTGCAGGACGAGAACGGACTAAAGATGGAGAGCTTTATTGCTTCGACGCAATTGGCGGGAAACTAACAGCAAGTAAAATTTTCAGTTAAGTCATGGCACATGAACAGACGCTATGAACGTACCACAAAAACGCTAGTTCGTATATCAGAACGTTATGCACTGACAGAAGTACTGCTCCAAGTGCTCCAAGCCGCTGCAAAAGAGAAATGCTGCTACAGGCCGCTCCAAAGCCCAATATTTCTAAGTATATATGCTTCGAATCTGCTCCAAAGTGGTGCTGCAGGCGCGTAGCCAGAAATTTTATTCGGCCGGGGCACCATCTCAATTTGGGGAGGGGCACCCCCTTAGTATGACCACTTTCGCTCTCTATGCCACGACCAAAAAATTTCAGGGGGGTGGGAGGGGGGAAAGTGCCCGGTGTGCCACTCCCTGGCTACTCCCCTGTGGCACTGGGAAACTCAAAACCAAGATTTTTAACCATGTGACCATCAAGTGAGCCTTAACAAAAAAAAATGGCAGATCCCAAGTACCCTAGGATTTGACACAATGCGGAGCATGCGGAGGGAAGGTCACCCTGTTGTAATTTTTTTAAAGACGACAATCTTTCTTGGGGACCTTCGACAGAAAAATTTTGGTCTGTCTGTCTGTCTGTCTGTCTGTCTGTCTGTCTGTCTGTCTGTCTGTCTGTCTGTCTGTCTGTCTGTCTGTCTGTATGTACATTTGTCTGGTTGTCCACCCTAACGATACCTCAAACGGCCAACCCCATCCGCAGCTCCCACCAATACTGCTCAATGTTTAGCGCTCATGGTTGTGCGATTGTCAATTAAAAAAGCAATTATTGCGCATATCCGAGGCACCACAACAATGCTTCGATGTTTTCTATGTCTGCCTTTATACTAGAAAAGTCACACACAGGTAACTCTAAGGAATGTAGCGTTTAATCGCGCTGCGCTGACAGTACAACGCGATGTTCAAAAAGGTGTTTCCAACGCTTTGTTATGACGTCACGGTGGTGGCACCTGTCCGTCGCTTTGTGTTCTACACCTTATCACGTACCTCAGAGACCGGCGCGCATCTTTCTCCGTAGGCTGCACGCCTTCGTTTTCGAAGATAACTGCCAGATGGCACTTGTGTCTAACGTGCCTATAGATGCTCTCGTTCGCCTCCGCCACACGCTCGAGGCACTCTAACGCAGCGCCTGCAGAATACCATTCACCGATTTTCTTGCGCAGAACATCAAATAAACGTTTTGTTCACTCTCTCCAGACACAAGACTATCGTCTTTCGACGACATTTACAGTGTAACATGTAGATTAGGGCCAATTTTTTTGCTTCAGTGACACGTCATGAAATGACGCTAAATATTTGTATAAATGTTACACGCATGAACATATATTGAAGAGTTGCAGATATTTATATAATCAGTTGTTTGCACTTGCGCAACGATGCAAACAGGACCATGAGTATTAGCGACACCAGAAGCGAGAAGCTGATAGGAAGCGCTGGTGGTCGGGAGGATAGTAGCCGTAGACACTGCAACATAAATCATTGATTGATTTGTGGGGTTTAACGTCCCAAAACCACCATATGATTATGAGAGACGCCGTAGTGGAGGGCTTCGGAAATTTCGACCACCTGGGGTTCTGTAACGTGCACCCAAATCTGAGCACACGGGCCTACAACATTTCCGCTTCCATCGGAAATGCAGCCGCCGCAGCCGGGATTCGATCCCGCTACCTGCGGGTCAGCAGCCGAGTACCTTAGCCACTAGACCACCGCGGCGGGGCTGCAACATAAGTCAACTTCAGTGCACGGCACCTAACTAAAATTGGCGTAGATAGATAGATAGATAGATAGATAGATAGATAGATAGATAGATAGATAGATAGATAGATAGATAGATAGATAGATAGATAGATAGATAGATAGATAGATAGGTGAATGGGTGGGTGGGTGGGTGGGTATTTGTTGCATTTTTAGGGGCGAAGCTCCTTACAACGGCACCGGTTTGTCCCTCGTAGTAGTCGTAGTGCGTAGCCAGTCTTACGTTTGGATTTGCAAGGTGGTGCCGGTGGGAGATTTCTCCTGTGCGTTATTGAACAATAAAAAAATTCGCAGTGTGCGCGTTAACTAAAAGCCGAATTCCCCTGTCTCTCATTCCCCATTAGCAGCCATTGGCATGTACATCGAGCACTATCTGACAAGCAAGGGTTGCTACGTTATACTCGCTCGGTGTAACCTCCTTGGTTTTACAAAGGTTTAGCGAGCGTTGCGCCGCAGAGCCATGAATGCAGTGAACTAGTATATACCATGAACTCGAGGTGGTTAAAAGTGGAAAGTAGACACGAAGGGTTCGCTCGCTGGATTCCGTGCTGACCGGTTGTGCGCCCGCGCGCTCCGCGCGCTCGCGACCTTCGGCGTCACCGTAGCTCTGGCCGACTGGGCTCGCCCTACGTCACCTCCTGTCGCCGACGACCTTCGACGGCAGTGAAGCTCTGACTTACTGGACCTGCTCTACGCCATCTACAGACGCCGACAACATCTCTCGCAAGTGTACCCCGTCCTCGGACTCCAGTGACCGTGCTTCCATCTTTCCTGTCTCTCCTATCCCCTCAGTTTGTTGTTGCTTCTTCTTCCTCTTTTCTATACCTTTACTTCTACCCTTTTTATCCCTCCTCACCCCCATCCCTAGTGAGCTCTGTGGTGGTGTCGCTCACTGAAGCAGACAATAACGGGGCTCACTTTTCTCTTCCTTTCTCTTTCTCAAGAACCACTACAAAGTAGACACGAAGCGCAAGCCGTAAGAAAGTGTGCGTGTGCCACCTCTCCTTTAGTCCTTGGAATGTCCGCTGGATGGCGGTGCTTCTATATGGGGAATATATGATGAAAAGATGTGAGATGGTGGTACCTGGAGTGTTGAATAGATGGACGAATGCACACACAGACAGATGCATGGACGGACGCGCGGATGGCTGCACGGATGGCTGCACGGATGGCTGCACGGATGGCTGCACGGACGGATGGACGCATGGACGGACGCAGGGGCGGATGCATGGTCGAACGCAGGGATGGACGCACAGATGAACGTACGGACGCATGAACAGGCGCATGCACGGACGAGTGGATGGATGCGCGGACGGTCACACAGACGGATGCATGGACAGACGGAAGCAAGAACGAATGGATGGACGGATGCTTCGCCCCACTCTCCATCATTAACTCCGGTGATATGCTGCCATTTTTTTTTTTGTGTGCAGTGGCTGATGACGATGAAGAATTATACCTGAAGTGGCTATGCGCCACAGTTAATAGGTGAACAACAACAAGCTTTAGTAATGGGTTGAAGCATTGGACGACCAACTTGGTACGCCATTCGCCTTGTGTGACGCCTGCTTGTTTCTTTGCTGTTCTAAAACGCTTTATTACTCGTACTGACGCGATTCCTTTCCCGACATCAAAGCTGCATAAGGAAAGTTTGCAATGGGGATTCCAGCATCGGTGTGGCTCTGCGTCAGAATACTGGGCTGGCACGCAGGGTACCCGGGTTCGAATCCCGTTGTTTTTGTTTACTTTTTTATTTCATGTGATAGTGGTGATATGGTGTCACGACGCGTGGTATGGTGTCACGCGCAGTTGAGCGTTGCTGAGTGCGCTTTGCTTGCCAGCTGTGTGGCGGAATATACAAAAGCAGGAACCGGCGTGAAACTTCAGAAGGTGTCGAACAACTTGCACTAATACTGGCAGTGCTACATGAATGGCCATTGTCGATATATATATCTGATTATGCTCTATGTTATTGTCTTACAAGCAAACTACTTTGGTGAAATGCTTTGGTGATTGCTAACTGCTGATGTGATGAATTTGATGCGTGGTTGTTTACATTACCACTTTTATCAGCTTTGACCTCATTTATGTCTCAAGAACTGGCACTTTGAGTGTATAGCTCATCAATCTTATTTTACTTTTGAAAATTCTGGTGCTTGCTATTTTCGGGAAATATCAAAATAGCTTTATTTATTTATTTTATTTATCATATACTGCGAACCATTTAAGGTCCAAGCAGGAAAGGTACAGCAAGTTCAAAGGTAAAATAAAAGTACAACAAAGTTACAACAAAATTGATACTGGTACACACGAAATGTAAGAAAAACATAGCAATCACCATCAAATTATACTCGTTTCCAGAGGGCTGAGTACACCCACTGCAACACAATCCATAAGCAAAGCACCACACTCTTAGGCACACAAGCTTATATAACTCCTACCGGTTGTGAACTGATGCTTTGGCAATAGTTATAGTTACATGGGACTGGGGCGACTTTTGTAATTTGCTGCTCAGCTTAATTGGTTTTCTTTAATTCCTGCCATATGTACTGGTACATTTTTTATATATGCTGCTCATCTTACTTTGTGTTCGTGGACCACCCATCTGTTTGTTTCTTGAAAATTGAAGTGATTGCTTTATTAACATTATACTTAGCAATAAGTAATAGTATTTTAATATTTACGAGATGCTTGAATGATGATTTAAACTCTAGGAGTCGTTTGCAATATTTGGTCATGCGCTCCGATGACACCAAAAGCTGCTCGAAACTCGCAATTTTTCTGCTTCGGAATCGGCCCCAATAATCGAAATATCGCTTCCATCGCTGACGATGTGTAGCGCAAAGAGAAGCGCGTAAGGCGACCGAGAAGGCAGACTGCAAGGAGCGCACCTGCCAACCGAAATTTTCAGACGCACGAATAATTGACAGGCACAACAAGCGGACGACGAGGGAAATAATGGAAACGTATAGAATAAGTAAAGGAGGGCACAGTTGCGTCAGTGAAGCGTCAGTTCTACTAACAGATGCGGAATTTGCTTTTTTGGACGTCACATAACCGAGTGTTTTTTTTAGTTTTTTTTCTGTTTTACGTTTTCTTTTTTTTTAGTTCTTGACACATGTTTGTTTCCGGTTGTGTGCCATCGATTATGGGAGTGCATATTTTGTTATATCACGTTGTTGATGATGACAGGGGAAGTCGGGAATGACGTACATGCGTGTGATGTATTTATTAGTGCTCGCTTCGAAATAAAATCATGAACCTTTACCAACACGCCCAACTGGCAGTCATCCTAAGGCAGACTAGACTCGTCGCTTGTTCTTGTCGCCCTGAGTGCGCCGTTTACGGTGCGCACAGGGTCAACACGTAAGCTACGAAGATATGACACGACATACCTAGAGCCTTGATTGTATGCCTAGAGTCTCTCGGCCAGTCCACTGGGTGTCCGTCTTTTTCAGTTACCACGTACTCTTGTTCGATACCGAACCAGGGTTGGTGGTCTTTCGCCTTGTTCATTGCGTTGAGGCAGCTTTGGCGGGTATTAGTCTCTGAAACGTAAATAGAATGAAAATGAAACCGCTGGCAGAACTGTGGTTAATGTTCCTGGCGCGCTGAGCTGTAGCAGTGTGGGAGGCCTGCAGGCACTGGTAACTATTCAGGTGTGTGAACAATCCAAATGTGAATGGTTTCTATACAGAGTACCATGCACTAGTTAAATACACTTTGGCAGAAATCTTCGCTTCTTTGATGAACAGCATCTCCCTCTTTTTTTGTCACTCTTTGATATTTAAGGAATAACTCTGGGATGGGCCACGGAAACTCGAAATGGGAAAAACCAAGTTTTTCTGAGCGCAGAGAATATACTGTTCGAGCTTGTTTGCCTGTATGCGCTGTAGAGTAAATATTAGAAAACAGAAAAATTCTCGTAAGACGACAATGCAAATGTAACTATCCGGCAAGTAATAGTTGCTTTTTCGAAGATTCAATGTCTAGAAGCGATTAAATGTCTAGAACCACATTTGTGCTAGCTGTCATTAGTGAACTTCGAACTTTCTGAGTAGTAGGGAGGTAATGATCATGGTGATCTACTCGACGTCAAGCTCCGCTGCAATGTTGACTCGCAAAACGGAAAAGCATCACGCAGGCTGCTCGAGCTGCAGAGAACCTACCACGCATCGCAGTGATGAGCTGCCGACATATACTTTTTCAAAAAAAAAGGGGGGGGGGGAAGTGGTGGGATTGCCCAGCTTGCACCTAAGGTTAAGCACTTGAATGCGTACGAAGAATGACATCTTACTCATTGGTGAGCGATCGTGCTGGAGTACTTCGCAGAGGACGAGTTTGTTGCGGCCCTTGAAAAACGGGTCCCTGAACAGGGCGACAGGTGACAGGTAGGCTTCGGACTTAGGGCCTGCGTCGGGCCACTGGTACGATGCAAGGGCACAGAATGTCCATTCCGGGCACTCTGTGGTTGAATGAATGGATTAAGGAAGGTGGCAATGGATAAGTTGGTGGATAACTCAGTGGTGAGTGAGGGAGTGAGTCAGTGAGATCGCCCGCAGAGTGTCCTGCTTTATTCATTGATCCCATTAGTTATTAATTTATTGGTGGTACTGAATTCACAGGAATGTATTGTGGGGACGGCCGGATGGAGGGAGGCGTCCAAGAAAAAAAAATCCCATACTGCTAGTAGTCTGAATAATTACGAATGAGAACTTCTATGAATCGACAACTACCAATTGACATAACCATTCTATGCCATTACCGCTCTCTATGAAATTCGCCCCATCAGCCTTGTGTCACAAGAGGCCTTAGTCGGGCCGACTCAACTCGGTCCGACTAAGGACAGGATTGGACTATGAACAGGATTGACACGCACTCCTGCATGGCTGCATATCGGGGGTGCTCCCTCCCCACTTTGCACTGAATGCATGAAGTCGCGGATATTCAGCACCATCTCTGATCAATTTCATGCGCAACGCTCCTATTAGTCACAGTAGTGCTTTGCGATACGGCAAATGATCACGCCACTGTCACCATCAAGGTCCCAGTAAAGAGTTATTTTAATATTTTTTAAATTTATTTTTCATGGCTGACTAGTTTTGTCGAAATGCACGCGCAGTCTGTTAAAGAAAATAGAGACATAAAAAGCCGAGAAAAGTAACGAACATGCAGTTATTTGTTTTTAATCACTCCCCAGACCGAATGGATAGTTAAGGTAAGATATTGTTGCATATGAGTGTTCCCTGCAAACTTCGCGTAGGTTACTGCAGAGACGAGTGTTCTTTAGGATGGGCGAATTCTTTGCGATCAACTCTAGATGCAGTCACGTAGAACGCCTTTGTTCCGGGCGTTTTTGCTGCTCTGAATGCGAAAATAAACGATATTTATAGGTCACGTTCGGTTAACTCTTAGGTATACTTTCTCCTATCTGCATGGCGCGTTTGAAAGGCGACGAAATACCCTTAAGTACTGTCACGACCTTGTTTTTATCCAGCCGCCATGGTACTGTGTGCACGCTAAAAGCCCAGCTGCGCTGCGCGTTCTAAGCGCGCGCGCACCGAAAAGAAGGAATATCGCGGCGCGAGGCCACGTGATGCGAGTCAGCCAATGGCATCGGCGGCGACGCGGGGCAAACAGATGCAGTGCTCTGAAAATTTTCCAGCGGATGTAGTTTTTTATGAATTTAAGCGTGATTTAAAAATATAAATCCAAGCCACAACGCGAGAAGATTGCGAGAATATGTCACTATAACTCATTAAAAAAAATTTTTACTACTATCTAATCGCACGTTCTGGCCAGGTGTCGTTCCCATTAGGCGTTTTATCTTTCGTACACACAGAGATATCGTACCTTCAGCGGTTTTCGGCTCAAAGTCCAGAGTTCTGGTCTTGCTTCGAGTTCTCTCCAAAGTTCCATCGACGAAGACGTATGTGCAGAAGACAGCGTCGTCCGGTTGATCCAGATCGAGGTATCGCTGTAGCACTGCCGCTCTGTTCATGGCCATATGTCTGCGGCTCGCGTGTAGAAAACACCGAAGACTGCCGAGGTAGGCTTTTAATAACACCTGTATTCACAAACACTCTTTCACTGAACTTTTTTTCCTCGACTTCGCCAATCAAGGCCAAGCGCCCTCCTTTGCACAAGGGACCGCTTTGTTTCTTGAACTCTCCTCCGTATTTCCTTCGCCGAGGGAGGCCTTCGAAATGCTGTTCCTTTCACTCGAATGAAACGCGCGGACCGAAAAAAAAAAGCATCTGGTAACAAGGGTGTTATTAAATGGGATTAGCAAATGGCTATTCGCGCACAATAAGTAAGGGTTTCTTTAATAATCTATCCTTATCAATTGACATTACTGCAAAATACGTATCTCTATATTGGTAGAGTATACCTTTCGTAAGCTTTGTGCCGATAGAGTAAGCGATACTCGCACTTCACGTCTGGCAACAATCGCACCGGCTTTCCTCGGTTGTTGACCGAACAGCTGACTCTGCACCGTCTGCTGCTGTACGTTTTCACTTGCTTTATTCATTTCGTTCCTGATGCGCCTGTCAGTCGTAGTTTTTAATTATGGCAGTGTCTGCGCGTGTACGTGTAACCTAGTTTTTTTATTTCCATGGCGACTAACGAACTACGTGAGTGATAGCAGGAAGCACAGCCCCACAAATGGACGATTTGTTACTATGTTTTTCTTGGTTTGCTGAGGGCCTTCTGATCACCGATGCTGCTACCAAACGAATAACTTGGGGTGAGTAATTTTTTTCACGATATCGCATTGTATTGATGTGCTTTGTTAATTCCCCACTGTATTTTGTACAAGGATTACTTGTTCGTAAATTCAATTTCGCTGCGGGAGTACGTACACGATTCGTAACTTAGGGGGCTGAATTCAGGGGCCTGTGAAATTTTCATTTCTCTCGTTGTATTTTTTGGGAGCTTCAGTGGGGCACTCTCGTAGTGGTTCCCTTTGCTGTAATATGAAATGTGGAATATAGTGCTCGTAACTGCTATTCAATGTTACAACAGTGTGACGTTAAGAACAAGGCATCTTGTACTTGGGGTTGAGCGTTCAAATTACACTGTTACGCTAGTTGAGGAAAGTGATCGTGTCCCTTACCTCCGCCATTGGCGAAAGCAGTGTTTTAATGTGTCCCCCTTTTTTAATTAGCTGCATATGCTTTCGGTTAAAAGACGTGTGTGTGTGTGTGTGTGTGTGTGTGTGTGTGTGTTTGTTTGTTTGTTTGTTTGTTTGTTTGAGTGAGAGAGAGAATTTCTTGTCTCCAGGTATGCTCCATGCAAAATTTTAATGAAATCTGGATACTTGAGTAAGCATTCATTTCCGTCTGTTTTATACTCGCTTTGCACTTGATCTTCTGACGTGACAAATTCGAATACACCCTTTAAGTCTCTGTAAATTCCGTCTCCCAGTCCACGCAGGGAGCATGACTTAAAATTTTTGTCCCGTCTTCTCGTTCTGAAAGCGCAGAACATTCGTTAGCGCACGAATGTTGTCTGTGCTCAAGTTCTGACTTTTGCTGCAGAGGATTACTCATGGGAATAATACCTTTTGAGGAGGACCGCGCTGTTTGTGCTGCATGGCGAAGCCTCGGCAGTACATAATGTATAGGACATTTTGGATTATTCCGCAAACCGGGAAACTGAGGCTGCTCCTGACTTTTACCACTGGTGTGTCCTAAATACGAGCGTGTGGGTTCTGTCTACCTATGAGGAAGTGTCCGTTAGGAGCAGAGTAGCTTACTTTAATAATCCAATGAGGACCAGAGCAGCAAAGTGTTGAAAAATGCTTCAGAGCGTTGCACTCATCACGGCTGTTTCAGGTCACAAGAACCCCGTAAACATGCGCTATTTCTACACTATAAATATGGCTGTCTGGCTGTTGGAACCGCGCCACCTCACATCCGTGGAAGGGTAGTGGTGCTGCTGTATATTGAGCAAGCGTGATTTTGGTGGAACGGCTTTTCTTTAGAATCGGAGGAGATGCGGTTTTTGCGATCCTGTCCGACCATGAAAGGACAAGGATGATGCTGATTTAGGTATTGATAACTGAATTAGGCAAATAGTGCGAATATTATATGAACCTTTATTGCATGTGGCTCACGAAGAACGATGTAAGTGACAAACTCAAATGTGTAAGCTATAAAGTGTTCATCAGTCAAACATATGCAGTCTAGTAGCCTACACACTGTCAAAGTGAAGTTCGTGCTCGTAAGTCATCATGAAAACGATACAGTGGGTAGACACACTAGCGTGATAATGCAGTGTGAAGATGTGGTGTGTGGGTTTCGGCACCACTTGTAGAAAATTGATCCTCCCGTTGCGTCGAAAAAGGGGTTTATTTGAAATAAAACATAGAGTAACATATTTACAATGTCACTTTATGAACAAACCGCAGCCCGACTTCGTGAGTTCTGCTGTATAGGGAGTGATTCAAGGGAGTGAGTGAGTGAGAACTTTATTTTTGTCCAAAGGCGGCAGAGATTGCACGGGAGACCGGTGGCCCTGCTATAGCTCAGCCAAAGCTACAACTAGTTGTTTTCCCCGTCTTCGATCTTTTTTCCAACACGGTGCAGTTACACACGATATGTGCAGATTTTCTCATTTTATATACAGTCATGCAAACGCTACATTGCATTACAAATACTGCGCGTTTAAAGACAGTGTTGGTCTGTGTTCTGTGGGCAGCCTGGTTTTTGCACAAAATGGCAAACAATAATGAAAACATAATAGGACACCACAGCTGCATTTTCTCAAACTTCTTGTTTTGCAGACATTCATTAATATTCTCGCGTTCGTAAACATACATGTCTTTTGTTGAGGTAATGAGCTTTGACTATTTTGATACATATTTAGCTCGGTCACTTGCGCATATGGTTATGTGAACATGTTATCAGGCATGTGGTTATATTACGACCGCTAATTTCGTTATGTAATGAATTGATTGCAAATGTACTGCGTGCTTTTTTTTACAAGTTGCCATCGTTGCTTTATTTGAAGTGCTATTACTAAGCTTGAAAATAAAACAATGTTTTGAAGCAGTCTGTCTCTGCTGTATTTCTATTATATCTGTTTGTGTTTTAATAAGGCGTTCCATACATTTTCGCGTGCGGGCAGTTTTCATAGAGCAGGACCACCTGCTTGATTCCCCAAAGCTGGTGTGCTCGTCTGTAGGTGTTGTGTGCTGTATGAGCGCTGTACGTCGAGCCTATGTATCACGCGTATTTACAGTCGCGCGCGATATGAAGGTTATCGTGTGAGCGTCCACCAGGACCTACAATGGCGCCACGTCCCAGAATACTCTTTTAAAGAGAGAGTACATGGTATCACACAAGCTTAACTCACCATTTTTGCTGTTCCTTAAACTTCAATTACTCCCGTCTTAGGAGGCTGATTAACCGAAGCACGCAGTGCCAAGCAACAACTTTAAGACATATTTCTTCTCAGCAATTTTTTAATCATCTCTGCAGATAAAAGCCACAAAGAATACATTTGATTGCAACAAATGAAAGGCTCAAAATAGATAGAAAGGGTGTCCAGTTCGTCATAGGGGTAGTTGTTGTAGCGTGAAACAGTCAACGAGCGAGAGAAAAACTCGCGATGTTTGATTGATATGTGGTGTGTAACGTCCCAAAACGACCATATGATTATGAGAGACGCCGCAGTGGAGGGCTCCAGAAATTTCGACCACCTGGGGTTCTTTAGCGTGCGCCCAAATCGGAGTACACGGGCCTACAACATTTCCGCCTCCATCGGAAATGCAGCCGCCGCAGCCGGGAAAATTCGCGTAGTTGATTTTCACAGTTGCAAAATGTGTCGATATGTCATCGAGACGTTAGGTGGGTCGATGCTCGTGCGATATCCTTCATACCACCACGCGCGTTTCTTTATTTTACTCTTGATTCCGTTTTCGCCCACAAAGCTTAGTTTAGGAATGCTCTGCGAAAACTGCGCCTTATTGTTCGAGAAGGTTCGCGATCGTTGTAAATTGTTCTGTTAGGGAGCGGTCCGCTTGACATCACGTCCGCCTATCTCGGTGCCACAGTATAACGAAGCCGTAGCCGAACGGCTTGAAGACAGCTTTGTAACGAATGCGCACAGGCGTAGGAAGAAATGCTGCGACAGAAGCTCTATTCCTAGAGTACAGACTTTTGGGCAAGTTGCTTTAACGTTACGTTCAGTGAAGCCATAGCTCTGATGAAACGGGAGCTAGAAAAAGAGAAAGTGTGCGTCCTGTACTCTTTCTTTGGTCCCTGCCTTATCAGCGCTGTGACTTCATTCAAACTTAATTCATCACGAAAAGCCGACGAAAGCAGGCATGCTCCGTATGGACGCCGTGCTCGCGCAGAACCTTCACTCAAGGAACAATTCAAGGTAAGCATGCCGTGTATACTTTGGCTATCTCAACGAAAATGCTCGAGAATTTCTCCAGTCGATTGATTGATATGTGGGGTTTAACGTCCCAAAACCACTATATGATTATGAGAGACGCCGTAGTGGAGGGCTCCGGAAATTTCGACCACCTGGGGTTCTTTAACGTGCGCCCAAATCTGAGCACACGGGCCTACAACATTTCCGCCTCCATCGCAAATGCAGCCGCCGCAGCCGGGAAAATTTGCGATGTTGATTTTCACAGTTGCGAAACGTGTCGCTATGTCCTCGAGACGTTAGGTGGGTCGATGCTCGTGCGATATCCTTCATACTACCACGCGCGTTTCTTTATTTTGTTTTTGATTCCGTTTTCGTCCACAAAATTTAGTTCAGGAATGCTCTGCTTCAACTGCGCCTCATTGTTCGAGAAGGTTCGCGATCGTTGTAGATTGTTCTGTTAGGGAGCGATCCGCTCGATATCACGTCCGCCTGTCTCGGTGCCACAGTATAACTGAGCCGTAGCCGAACGGCTCGAAAACAGATTCGTAACGAATGTGCCCAGGCGTAAGAAGAAATGCTGCGGCGGAAGCTCTATTCCTAGAGTGCAGACTTTTGGGCAAGTTGCTTTAACGTTACGTCCAGTGAAGCCATAGCGCTGACGAAACGGGAGCTACAAAAAGAGAAAGTGTGCGTCCTGTACTCTTTCTTTGGTCCCTGCCTTATCAGCGCTGCGACTTCATTCAAGCTTAATTCATCGCGAAAAGCCGACGAAAGCAGGCACGCTCCGTATGGACGCCATGCTCGCGCAGAACCTTCACTCAAGGAACAATTCAAGGTAAGCTGCCGTGTATACCTTGGCTATCTCAACGAAAATGCTCGAGAATTTCTCCAGTCGATTGATTGATATGTGGGGTTTAACGTCCCAAAACCACTATATGATTATGAGAGACGCCGTAGTGGAGGGCTCCGGAAATTTCGACCACCTGGGGTTCTTTAACGTGCGCCCAAATCTGAGCACACGGGCCTACAACATTTCCGCCTCCATCGGAAATGCAGCCGCCGCAGCCGGGATTCGAACCCGCGCCCTGCGGGTCAGCAGCCGAGTACCTTAGCCACTAGACCACCGCGGCGGGGCATTTCTCCAGTCGAGGCGCGGTTCGAGTGAAGGGTTGATTGATTGATATGTGAGGTTTAACGTCCCAAAACCACCACATGATTATGAGAGACGCCGTAGTGGAGGGCTCTGTAAATTTCGACCACCCGTGGTTCTTTAACGTGCACCCTAATCTGAGCACACGGGCCTACAACATTTCCGCCTCCATCGGAAATGCAGCCGCCGCAGCCGGGATTCGATCCCGCGACCTGCGGGTCAGCAGCCGAGTACCTTATCCACCAGACCACCGCGGTGGAGTTCGAGTAAACGGTGATTTGTAATCGGAAAACGGCCCTCAAGGAACGTTTCGAGTGAAGGGTCGAGTCGAGGAGTGTTTGTGAATATGCGGGTGAGGCTCTGTGTAGCAGTGCGTTCTTATTAAATTGGTGAGTTATTTTTTGTGTACCTGCAGGGCATGAAAATTCAGCAATGTTAATTATCTATGGAACACTTTTCTCGCAAAACGCAATTTCAGATATGTTTGCTTCGACAACAGGCAACACTGGATAAACTGCGCAACGAAGCGGGCTAATTATGCGACTGTAATATTATTGAACTCCGCCCTCAAGGAACTAAAATAAGCAGCGGAGGCAAGGACACCATGCTTGCATCCTCTTGGGTGTATTTTGGTTTATTTTTTTAATTTTTGGTAAACTTGTTGTCTTTCCTGTCATAACATTAGTTATACCATTTTTAGGAGCGAAGCTCCTTAAGGCGTGGGCTGTGCGTCCCCTGTATGTAGCTACCTCTCGTTCAGGTCTAAGTATTACGCTAGCCACCGCCCGATCTAAAGGGTACAGCCATATCCATCCGTCCATCCGTCCATCCGTCCGTCCGTCCGTCCGTCCGTCCGTCCGTCCGTCCGTCCGTCCGTCCGTCCGTCCGTACATCCATCCATCCATCCATCCATCCATCCATTCATCCATCCGTCCGTCCGTTCGTCCTCCATCCGTCCGTCCATCCGTCCGTCCGTCCGTCCAAAAGATGCAAGATGTTATAAACTAGACGGTGGTACGTGTAGTTGATTATGAAAGATGCAAGGTGTTATAAAATAGGAATGATGCCACATATGGCGCGTGTCATCGTTCGATATAGTGCGGCGACGTACGCTAGGGGGAGCGTTGCAATAAAATCGAGTGGGCAAAATGTACGGAGGATTCATGGTTTACCAGGTTTACCTCCGGAGCTTCGCCCACTCATCATCATTCACTTCGTGGATATGGCGGCACTTTTTGAAGCTCCCTCACATCGAAGAGGGCTTGCAACATTTTTTGAGCATAGTCAGAAAACGCTGCTGATCGGTATTCGAAGCTCCAGAGAACACGCGAGCCAAACGTTACAGCTCAGCGTGCATCCCAAAATTCGCCATTAATTATCAAAGTCAGCTAGGAAACGACATTCTCCGTTCCCTCTACAAATGATGCCATATGGCCAGATTACTATGCCATCCCTACTGAAACGTGCCGTATGCGAGTCCAATAATTCCATATGTTTCCATAAAGAATACATATGTTTCCCATATATTTTCCATATATTTCCGTAAGATTCTTACGGAAACATACGGAATTATTGGACATCGCATACGGAAGGTTTCAGTAGGGATACACCCAAGTTTGGAGGCATTGGCTGATTTGAGCGTCGTGAGCTGCATCGAGATCGCGCTTCCCCCAAACGTCGATGTGTTTTTTTTCAGCCAGGATGCATAGCGAACGGTGAGACACCACAGAGCACAAGGTCGTGAAAACCTCGAACTTCGGCGTATACGTACCCGATCATCTTCAAGTGTTCAGCTGTGCCCGTCACATGTGCGATTGCTATCGTGACCCGTATTTAAAATTTGAAGCCAGAAGCTGAGGCAACTTGCTTTCGCATTTCTTTCATTTTTAGCTCACTTTCTGATGTCCCATTCTGAAGATTCAATCGATGGTAGATGATAAATTTCAGAGGACAAATTAGCAACTGTGTTGGCAATTGTGTTACGCGTTAAACAACGTCCGCCATCGTTTCCTGTGAACGTTGCTCAATGGATGGCAACAACGGGATTCCTTAATGGGAAAATGCGCTAATTTACAAAAAGTAATGAACGCACGTTTCGGCAGAGACGCTTTACAAGGCATGACGCTTTACAACACGCTTTACAAGGCACAGCCTTAATTAAACCCAGACGATGCCAATGTAGGGGCACCAACTTTACTACATGTCTGTCTAGTCTGGGAGACACATTTGATATGAATTTGCGTCGTAGGGGAATTCACTCAGAGTGTAAAATGAAAGCACAGCGGGAGTCATGAGGCAGCTTGTGCAACGTCTGTTATGACGTGACGCTTCGCAGCTGCAAACGCACTGGCGAACTTCACATTTAGAAGAGTGACACGAGAGTAGTACACAGTGGCTTGGCTATCAGTCTCTAAATAGTCATTTACAGCGGTTAGCACTGTTAGGGTGAACACGTGAGCGCGTGGCCGACGGCACTATCAGCGCCGCGTAACAGCATTCGTTGGAAACATTGCACGGGCGCAGCATGTGCTCAACGTCAAAAGTATACGCTTGTTCGTCGTCTGCTAGCCGCTTTTTGGTCGGTTAGGCTGGCATGTCCTGCATTCCGAGGCACATCTCGAATAAAATGTGGGCCGTTTATACAAAAGTGAATATGAAACAGTTTACTTTTGAAGTATTTATAAAGAAAGTCTCAAAGACAGAAATAGCTTCAAAAGCAGAATGCACCAGCTTGGCAAACGAAAATTTGGCTAAGTAGCGACGAACAAGTTATTCATGACGTGGTGGAAAGACTACATCGCAGAGCACATGCTGCGTATATGCGCAATGTTTCTACCGATGAGTGTTACGCGGCGTTGATATTGCGTCAGCCATGTGCTCGCGTGTTGATTAATATGTGGGGTTTAACGTCCCACAACCAGCACAATTGATTGATAAGTAAGATTTAACGTCCCAAAACCGCCATACGATTATGAGAGACGCCGTAGTGGAGGGCTCCGGAAATTTCGACCACCTGGGGTTCTTTAACGGGCACCCAAATCTGGTCACACGGGCCTACCGCATTTTCGCCTCCATCGAAAATGCAGCTGCCGCAGTCGGGATTCGATCCCGCGACCTGCGGGTCAGCAGCGTGCTCGCGTGTTTACCCCTAACAGTGCTCACCTCTGTGCGATGATTACTGACCCCCTAATTGTGCTCACTGCTGTAACGGCTGAGGCTTGAGTCACGGTTATCGTCAGGGTAATCTTGATGCGCCCGCCTCTTTAACCTGGTTGTTAATCTTGATAGTTACCAAAAAAGTGGCTCTCTTCACATCTGTATAGACAGTATATTCGGAAGCTAAGTGCGAACCAGGATTTGTAGCTGTTGCGTGAAGTAAGTGAACTGCGAATGTTACGGAGCAGTCGCAAGTTTTCAATCAAGTGAGATTGCAGCTAGCCAAGTCAAGTTCGATTTGTAAACAATGCCGCCAATATGGCGTGCACTGCAGACACAAAGTCATTAACAGTGGAAACGTGGCCTCCCGCGATAAGCTTCCTTTAACCTTCAACAACAGGCGCGACGGGTCCGGCGTCGCAACTTTATGTGAATAGCCCAGCTTTTTTTAGATCGATGGCTCCCAGCAGGCTGAAAATGGAACGGCCCCTTGATTGTCTTTGCAGAACGCAGCGATGAGAAGCTGATGTAGGTATACAGTCCATGGTCTCCCCGGCCATGCAGGCTCAGAGACACACGGTCTTCACGATGGCCGCTGTGGCGCTGTACGGCTCGACGTTTGCGCCGGGCCTGCGGTCTTCGAGGTACCCTTGGCCGGCGTCGTACACGAGGCGCGGCACGCGGACGCTGGCCTCTCGAGAGCACGAGTCGACGACGAAGTTCTCGTTGGGCGTCGCCAGCATGCCGGCCCCGAGGCGGCGTCGGTTGGCCCCGCCGCCCTTGCGCGGGTCGTAGACGCGCAGGTGCTCGGCGGCATTGGCTTCGAGCTTCTGCAGCGCCACCTTGATGTGCCTGCGAAGCGAAATTTACGGACAGCCCTATCTTTATACTGAAAGAAGACGATGCTTGCGTGTCGACAGCCGACAGCCAACATTATGAACCATTTTTAGGGGCGAAGCTCCTTAGGGCGTGGGCTGTGCGTCCCCTGTATGTAGCCACCTCTAGTTTAGTTCTTGCAGTGTTCACTAGATGGCGGTACCGTCTCCTGTATGTAGCCACCTCTAGTTTAGTTCTTGTAGTGTTTACTAGATGGTGGTACTTGTAGCTGATGATGAAAAGATGCAAGATGTTATAAACTAGAAAGCGGTACTTGTAGTTGATGAAAGACGCGAGATCTTATAAAATAGGAATGATGTCACATATGGCGCGTGTCATTGGTTGAAGGCAATCGTTCGATTTATGCGGCGACGTACGCTAGGGGGAGCGATGTAATAAAATCGAGTGGGAAAAATGTACAGAGGATTCATGGTTTACCAGGTTTACCTCCGGAGCTTCGCCCACTCATCATCATTCACTTTGTGGATATGGCGGCACTTTTTTGTTTACTTTATTTACAGTACACTGCGGTCACAAAGGACCACGCAGGTGGGAAAATATACGGCTTCGAATTTACAAGCACAAATGGAGCCGTAAGGCACACAAGCTCACAGAAAAGGGAAACAAAGTAATCTTACGGTGTATCTAGAAGTATTACCAGCGCAGCCTGTCAAGATAAAAAAAATAATACAGTTCTTAGGAGAGTGACGCACACTATAAAAAGTATAAAAGTAAACAAAAAAGAACTCTTCCCGGAAAACTTCTTTTCCTGGCTAAGTGCGCATGTCCTTCGCGTTTAGACTTGTTATACCAGCAATAGACATTGCTAGACAAAGAAAATAATAAAGGTAGGCTAGTTGGCAGCGTAGCTTAGTAAAATCACTGCGCGTCGAAAGAAAAAAGAACGGTCAACGCAGAGAGCAACATCACACTGGTTTTACGGTCATCCATTGTTTTACTCTTTTGTGTTATAAACACTGTTAGACATTAGCGAGACTTCAGTCAACACTAGTTGAAATCACAGCGGAAGTCACGTGACCTAGTGAAAACTTGTGTTTTATAGTGCTCTTCTTTTGCAATCGGACTACATTTCTCGTCAGAACTCGCGCAACGCCGTACCCTTTCGTATAATGTGTGTGGACGAGTGCTACATGAAAACATAGTCCTCAAAAAAAAAAAGTTATGCTGCATGTATTTTGCAGCCTGGTGTGGGTGTCCCATCTCGCGTAAGCCAATAGGTCCGCGAATGCACTCGTTGAAGGTGTAGCTGCGTACACATTCCCCAAAAGTAAAACAGAGTCCGCGAGCAGTGACAAAACTGCCCGAAACTACATGCCAGCATGCTTTATCAAAGAATTGTTTCTCTTTTATAAACGAAATGATGACACTATCTTCTGGCACATGTCGTTTCATAATTAGAGAACCGCTGCTCTGATAGAGCAACCTGGCATGCAGTTTTGCGTAGTTTGGCCACAGCTCGCTGACCTCGTTGTACTTTTGGGGCACATGTACGTTACGCGCATTGTTGCTAGCGCTTGAATTCGTTCAAGGCGAGAGCTTTTTTTACAATATGTACGACCTCCAGTGTTGTAGTGTGTAGTATCACTCGTTAGGAATGATAACGGAGGCAGAAGTTGACGGATAACCGTCACCTCCTGCATGTCGCTCTTCGTGACCAACAAGGGTCAATAGATGTGGATTACTACAGGCTTGATCTTCTGAATGTATCACAAATGGACCTGTGTAATGAAGGCGGATGTGAAATAGTATCACAAATCCTCCACTAGCTAATACAAGTCCATGCTTTGAAGCCTTATAAGGTCGGAGATGACAAATTTTGCGAAATATAGAAATTTATGTTGTAGGCAACACGAGATAGCAAGTGCTATTTCAACGCTGGAGTGCCATTCCCCGTTGCATCATGAGCATTTAAGGATGCGCTCGGCAACAAGAGCAGCAGCACATGCAAAGAAGAGCGGATGGCAACAGTGTTCGACGGATTAGTTATGCAGTGTCCTTCAGTACGAGTGTGTCGTCAAGCGAACGCGCGATCTGGGGTAACCGGAGAGCAAACAAACAAACAAACAAACAAAAAGAAGATAGAAGAGAACTCACTCGAGGCCTCCCGGCTTGCGCATGTCCTTCGTGCTGAAATTGATGTGTCCTCCGGAGCCGCAGAGGGCGTCGTTCTCGAAGGGCTTCGGGTCGAACGAGATGACCACGTCGAACTCTTCCGCCACCCGCTTGAGGATATAGCGCGAGATCCACAGATGATCGCCCGCCGCTGTACCTTCCAGCGGTCCCACTTGGTACTCCCACTGTGAAATACAAGTCAGTGTACACGTCTGTGAGAGAGTAGAGCAAATAAGATTGTTAGATCGTCAATTGTTCATGTATAGTGCCACTGTGGCGCTTAAGTTCGTGATAATGAAATTAAGGATTCGCCATCGCCATTCAGCGGGCAACGTTGCAGCCTACTGGAGTTTCATGCAGCATGGAGCAGGATGTATGCTGTCGGCTACAGGCAGGCCATGCCTTGCAGAGAGCGTGTCCTGTATAAGGTGCTGTAAGGTGTAAGGTGGTGTAAGCTTATAAACATGTGCATGGAGAGAAACTGCTGATAGATGCACAAGGAGGTAAACAACTTAAAGTTGACCTGCAGAGGAGTGATTCATGTTAGGAAAAAAACTTAGACGCGCATACACTAACAGAAGCGGATGGAAACTTACAACACAAATGCCAAATATCAAGTTAAATGTTTAATAATGACAGACAAATATCTGCACAAAAGGTTTGCTGTGCAGGCTCTGCAGGAATGTAAGGGCCTTACTAGTCTGGGATACGCTGTCAATCACGAACACGCCTGTTTATAATGCCATCGCTTATTTTCTTACGCATAAATGCGACGTCATCGTGCCTAAGCACTCAGATATCGCGGAGGTGGCCCACGCACCTTATTGGCGGACAACAAAACCTAGCACGTGAAGGTAGATGTGGACACCTTCATGTCAGTTTTCTCCACAGTTGTCAGCGGCGAAAGAAGCGCGTGAGCACACGTCAGTTACCTCACAACGACATTATTCACAATGAAAATAATTCACTATATACAGTTTCGCTAATGTTTCTGGCACTATAGCAGGAGATGTTTGTAATGACGGTATACATTATTTTGTTGTGAGAATATCTGGAGAGATGTATGGCGCCGCGACACATCTTGCCGATTCGCACTGGGATCTAGGGTGAAGGCCACAGCGCGGCTCGCCCTACCTGCGAAAGGACAACCTCGGAGTTGGTTCCGCTGATCTTGACCCCGGCGTAAGCGCAGGCCTTTAGGTGGGCATCTGAAATTTGCCTTCCGATTGTGTTCTCCGCTCCGACACCGAAGAAGAATGGTCCTGAAGTGTAAAATATAGGGATTAAAGGCGTCAGCCTTTCGCTGCACTTTTTGGCCGACACACAGCAATGTCATTAGCGGGTAATTGCAACTTGGCACATGGTAATAGTAGAGACCTTGTCTAGCATAGTATTCAAGATTGGGCGACCTCTGGCGAGCATGCCACTCCCATCTCGCAGAAGATTTAGTAGGCACGTCACTCCCATGCCATCTCGGAGGCGACTGTACCATCACTTGCATTGCGAGTAACGGTACATTCTTCTTATTTCTGCCGCACACTGACTTGGCTGAGGCACAGTGACACGGAGCTAAAGGTAGATGTAAGAGACATTATTTGCAGTCTTTAGCTGCGAATGTAGTAATGTGATACGAAATGTAAAGAAAATACAGCGGCCGAAAAGACGACGTGCTGCCGGCAGGGGGCAAGCCTTCAACCTTCGAAGAACGTGTCCGATGCCTCAGAGTGTGCTAAAACACTGGAGTGCGCGGAACGACCGTCGCACCAGTGTACAGAAACAGAAGCCGAAACGGGGTCAAGCCACTCGTGGCGCTTCGATCGGTAACCTGCGATAGGCTGTTTAAGAATTGCGCGAGGCTCTGCCAAAGTGGTGTAGGCTTTCATTTTATTTTAAGGGGCACTCGTTACAGCTGTGTTAGTTTTTCTTTGTTTCTTCAAACTACCTTCAGTTGCTACTTATTTCTACGAAAATTAACCTAAATTGTGAGGGCTCGTATTCGCGAAAATTTTCGATGAAATAGCAAACGTCCCAAATCAGCACTTACTATGGACACATGCAGAGTCTCCCACACGTACTTGGTTTACTCTCTTTAAAAAAATACCTAGAAAATGTTAAAAACATGTGTCGTTGTATAGTATACATACCCAGCGGCCTAATTGAGTGTCCGTCCCTGGGCCAGCCTAGTGGCAGACCGTCCCTTCCTCGAATCGCGTACTCTTGCTCGATGCCAAACCAAGGCTCCTGGGTGCCAGCTTTCGTCATCACCTCGACGCACGAATGGCGCGTGTTTGTCTCTGCAAGAGAAAAGGGCCGGTGTAGTTTGTCTTCCTGCTTCAAACAAACACTACAATAGTGTCAAAGAAAAAGCTTCTAATATGTCCTGTCCTGTCTGCGTGAACCACGGACACGTAATGGCGGAAATTCTTGCTAAAAAGAACTCTAGGAACGCGGAGTCGAAATTTACCTGTCTAAAAGGGGCCATATCAGCCAATTTTCGATCGTCATCCGCGTTATACGAGTTGATTCTTGTTTGTCCAGAAACAAGCTGGCGAAGTTTTAGTGCATTTGGTAAGGCGCGTGATTTGTCATTCAATATTCTTGAAAGAGGTGACGCCCCGCCGTGGTGGTCTAGTGGCTAAGGTACTCGGCTGCTGACCCGCAGGTCGCGGGATAGAATACCGGCTGTGGTGGCTGCATTTTTGATGGAGGCGGAAATGTTGTAAGCCCGTGTGTTCAGATTTGGGTGCACGTTAAAGAACCCCAGGTGGTCGAAATTTCCGGAGCCCTCCACTACGGCGTCTCTCATAGTCATATGGTGGCAGTGAGACGTTAAACCCCACAAATAAAAAAAATTGAAAGAAGTGAGTGACCTCAGAGTCTGGCGACACTGACGTACTCGCGACCTGTGGCCCTAACAAGCTGCTCGCAGGGTGAGCGTCTGCATTCCGGCGAACGATTTTGACCCGTGGTCAACTGCGCGAGCAATTGAGCCATTGCGGCTTTTTTCGGCTAGTCATTGAAACTGAATGATTTGCGGCGGCAGAAACTACGGTAGAAGACGACGGGGCTCCGCTCCATGCAGCACGTGACGTCACGCACGCCATATCAAAAGGGTGTTCACTGGTGGTGGGCGGGATTTATAGCCGGCGATCACTTGGAGCTTAGCTTGTGCGGAAATATTCTTGAGCAGCGCAAATTTCATACATGTAAACGTGTAATAAACACACTACCTTTATTTTTCGTCGAAAACCGCAAATTTTCGAGTGACCATCTCAGGGTCCCTTTAAATTTGAATGGCGAGTGGATTTCTTACGCTCGCCGGAAGTCAACAATGAAGTGTGCATATCGGGAGGCACAAGGGCGCGATGTAGACAAATTCACTAGGGCGCAAGCATACCAAGGTATCACAAAAGAGGGAGAGAAAGGTTTGGTGAAAGGCAGGGAGGTTAACCAGAAAAAAAGTTCCGATTTGCTACCCTGCACTGGGGAAGGGGAAATGAGACTGAACAACTGTACATACACTGCATGCCTAACTGAGACATACACTGGCATCATCCTACTCGCTTTATGTTGAGGAAATCAATCATGCGTGAACCTAAGTTGGGGAGAGCTTAGCGCACAACTTCGAAAATGAGGCTCGGGGGCGAAAATAGAAGCATGGACATCCATGCTTTATCCAGTGCACTTTGACTCAGCTGCGTCCACTGGGAAATTGATTTCTAAGGCTTAATGTCTGAAAGCGAAACTAGGTTTACAGTTATTGTCGTATAGCCCGCACGGTGTTCTAGTGGATAAGGCACTCGGCTGCTGACCCGCAGGTCGCGGGATCCAATTCCGGCCGCGGTGGCCGCAATTTCCATGGAGGCGTAAATGGTTGAGGCCCGTGTGCTTAGATTTAGGTGCAGGTGTAGAACCCCAGGTGGTCGAAATTTGCGGACCCCTTCACTACGGCGTCCCTCGTGATCATATGGCGGTTTGCGGACGTTAAACACCAACAATTGTTAATATTGTATAAGGGGGCCCTGAATCAACTTCTGTGTTTTATGATGTGCACTTAAAACAGACAGCACAAGCATTTCCGGATATCACCTACATCGAAATGCCTATCTCCGTAGGGAGTCACACCCTTAACCTTACGGTAATTAACAGGAAGTAGTAAACCTTTGTTGCGGCTGCACTCACTGATGTGTAACAAGGGCAAACAAAAAGAGAAGAGTGCTCACTCGAGGCCTCCCGGCTTGCGCATGTCCTTAAACGAAAAATGCCCGCCTCAGTCGGGGCATTTAAAAGTTAGCTTGAAATAAAAGAAGAAAAATGGCAGCATATCCACAGAGTGAATGATGGATAGTGGGGCGAAGCATCCGTCCGTCCACTCGTTCTTGCTTCCGTCCATCCATGCGTGCGTCTGTGTGGCCGCCCGTGCGTCCATCCGCCCGCCGTGCGTGTGTCTGCTCGTGCGTCCGCACGTCCATCTGTGCGTCCGTCCCTGCGTTCGTCCATGCATCCGTCCATGCGTCCATCCGTCCGTGCTGCCATCCATGCGTCCGTCCAAGCATCTGTCTGTGGGTCCGTTCGTCCACCTATTCAACACTCCAAGTACCACCATCTCGTATCTTTTCATCATATATTCCTCATTTAGAAGCACCGCCATCCAGCGGACATTCCAAGGACTGGACGAGAGGAGGCACACGCACACTTTCTTACGGCTTGCGCTTCGTGTCTACTTCCCGCCTTTAACCAGCTCGAGTTCGTGGTATTTACTAGTTCACTGTATTCATGGCACTGCGGCCCTACGCTCGCTAAACCTTTCTAAAACCAAGGAGGTTACGCCCAGCGATTATAACGTAGCAACCTTTTTTTGTCTTCTGTGCGTTGTTGAACAATAAAAATTCGCAACGTGCGCGTTAACTAAAAGCCGAATTTTCCTGTCCCTCATTCTTCCTAAGCAACCATTGGCATGTACATTGAGCACTATCTTTTATTGTTCAACAACGCACAAAAGAAATCTCTCACCGGCACCACCTTGGAGGTCAAAATGTTATACTTGTTACACACTATTACAACGGCTACGAGGGACGAATGGGTGCTGCTATAAGTAGCTATAAGTAGCTGCTATAAGTGCTGCTATAAGCTGCTATAAGTAGCTATAGTAGATCGACGGCTTGAATGCTACCGGTTTCGAAGATATTAGACACAGAAACCCCGACGCACTGAGACGCCGTGGTCCCAAGCATCAGTCTTGTTGGAGTATTATCCAACACAAGCACTTGCTATTTGAACGTATTCGCACAACGAGACATGTATGAGTTGCGCTTTCGAAATCTCAAATCGTGAGTTATTTGCCACATCCATAATAGCCATTCATCGCAGTTCATGGACATTGCAATGGGAAATGCGATTCTCAATGAGCCGTTACACACCGCCTTGCACGTCTACTCCATTAGCAGAAAAATTGTCAGGGTCATGAAACCATCACCACATCGAATTTCGTTTTCGTCACAGTGATTGGGAGGTATGATTATGTCGATTGATAAATATTATGACAGAAACCTCCCTCTAAGCATAAAATGCACGCTGTCCCTGTATTTTCCTGCATCTATCTCTCTCTCTTTCTGCGCGCGCGCGCGCGGGTGTGTGTGTGTGTGTGTGTGTGTGTGTGTGTGTGTGTTGATTGATTGATTTGTGGGGTTTAACGTCCCAAAACCACCATATGATTATGAGAGACGCCGTAGTGGAGGGCTCCGGAAATTTCGACCACCTGGGGTTCTTTAACGTGCACCCAAATCTGAGCACACGGGCCTCGACATTTCCGCCTCCATCGGAAATGCAGCCGCCGCAGCCGGGATTTGAACACGCGACCTGCGGGTCAGCAGCCGAGTACCTTAGCCACTAGACCACCGCGGCGGGGCGTGTGTGTGTGTGTGTGTGTGTGTGTGTGTGTGTGTGTGTGTGTGTGTGTGTGTGTGTGTGCGTGCGTGTGTGTGTGTGTGCGTGTGTGTGTGTGTGTGTGCGTGCGTGTGTGTGTGTGTGCGGCGTGTGTGCGTGCGTGCGAGCGTGCGTGCCTACGAATACTTGTTTCTCATGTTGAACGTCACTGTGTGTAACAACACAGCAGTGGTGAAGCCAGGAATGCTATCGAGGTGATTAGGTGGGGTAGGGCGGGTATTTGTCACGAGTGCAGAATGGAAGCCAGCCTGGGTAATCATCCGTAACTAGGGCTAATTTCCATGCGTGGCTTTTGTGACAGCCTTCCGTTCCAATATCCTGCAATTGTCAATTTCATTTCTCTGCTGTTGCGTCGACGAAACAAACACAGAGGTTGGCCTGCCACCATTGGATTGTCATCATTCAGACGATGTGCTTCAGCGTCTCTGAATTGAGCGTGTACGAAGTCAGCCGAAAGCATTTCCTGCTTTTATGTTCGATTGCCTTGTGCCGGTTGGGTAGACACCGCTTTCACGCATGTAAAGAACGTTAGGCGAGGCGGCCTTCACTATCGTCGCTACGAAAAGACAAAAACAAAACAAAAATAGCAGTAAATGGCACTCATCCAGTATACCGGTTAGGAGTATTAGCACACATTTTCCTTATGCATAGCGCGGACTACAATTGCACCATACGGCAAGTATGAAGGGGATCTTTTTCTTCAGCGCAGTTCATTTGAAAGAAATCTCTATACCACATTTACCCAATTATAACGCGCAACTTTTTTTTTTTCCGGAACTATAGACCTCAATATCGATCGCATGTGCGTAAGATTCGGGTACAGACGTTTAAAATACCCCACTATAATAGTTGTGTATATATATATGAATACGAAAACTTTCGGGTGCCCTGCTATCAGTGCAATGAAAGAACCTTTAAGGGGCCTAACTCATTTCGAAGGACGCCACAGTGGTGTAATTCATGACTAGCTCGTGGTTTCGAAGCGTTAAACCCGATTATTTCGTTTGTTACTTTAGGTGAATGGTTTGTCAGACCATTATCTTCGCATAAAAAAAAAAACGTCACTGACCTATGTCAAACAAAACATGACGTTTCGGATCCCGAAACGTCATTTGTTATAGATTGGGCACAAGGGATCTGTGCGGATACCGAAACGTCATTCGTTTCGTTTGCCATAGGTCAGTGACCTGTTTTTCAACAATACCTTTACCTGACTAGACGCTATTCCGTCGAACTCTCAATTACATTTTTGCATTTCTGATGCAGCATAAAATTACATCAAATCAGCAGCGCGTTGCTGAAAGAGTCCCTTGTGGATAGGCTTTCGTCATGCACGTTCTTTTCGAGG